TACTACGTCAATGGAGGTCAAAAAGGCTTCAGAACAAACACCAAACTTGGTTCTGCATGAGATGTGGCCAAGCAACGCATACAATAGCATTGCCGGGCCAAATGCATCATCAATGGCGCTTCCAAACATATTTAGACTCTCACAGTTTCTGACACCATCTCTAGCAAACACACATTTTGCAAGTCACTATCAAGCGTGGCCGGCAACATCCCATGAGGTTGGTGCGGTCAACAGCTGCTACTGATACTCTTGCTTTTGACTCGGAATGTTTCTCAACTTGTTCTCAACTTGTTGGCCGAAATTTGCAACATGGCCGGACAAACTGCTAAAGCTGGAGACTTAGTCGAAGCCAGCCCTGGCCTGGCAAAAAGGTGCCCAATGAAAAGTCCGCTGCCCCTCGGCAACTGGCTTAGGGAACAAGCAGCAAATGCCACAAAACATGCAACGCCTTAATACCTCTTCCATGCAGTTAGGGCAATTCACTCGAATTCATCATCCACAAGCACAGCGCGGCGAACCATCTGTCGTCCAATTCGGGAAATCCACTGTTCCTTCTCTTCTGGAGTCCGTGCAATCAAAAGAAATGCACGTTCCGGAGTTTGAACACAAATCGAGTTCTCCTTGCCGGAGATGTCCTCGGCACTCTTCACAGTTTGGCAGTCCCCGAGTCGAATGAACTCAGTTGGGTTCCTGTATTCACCTTGATTCTTGAAGCTGCAAAGGTACTGCGGCGTGAGAACAAACCAACGTTGCCTCCACTCCTTCATGAACTTCGACTGCTTCACCATGAATCCTTCCATCACAATGTCGTCCCTATGAATGACAATCTGCTCGGCCATGGCTGTGAGTGTCAAACTATTCAAACTGCAGGTGCCTACTACGTCAATGGAGGTCAAAAAGGCTTCAGAACAAACACCAAACAGCATTGCAATCCGCAAAAAGTGGTGCAAATCATGTTTTATACAAAATGTTCCGGTGGTCTTCGAACCCTGAAGCATGTCTCTTAATCTGGCTCTCCAACCATCAGCCTGCCCCCAGCTGAACCACGGAAGAACCCCCACGTTGGACAGCCGAGGTGCAGATAGACCCTTGGTGCCCTCCGGGCCAAAGCAAATCTTTCGAGAATCCCCGCTGGAGCCGAGTTCCGGCCACTTCATGGTCCGAAAATCCATCCAGGCAAGCATCTGCTTCCTCACGCCGGATGGGCCGCTTCGGCTTCTAACTCGAGTGAACTATGGGGGCGTGAGTCACTTGGCAATCCAGCACGCAAACATGAAAAACAATGAGTTCCGTTGGCCCTGGTTGGAACATGGGGGAAATACATGGAAATACAACGGCTTCATCTCCAAAGCCAAGCCAGAACGCAGGACAAACAAAGTTCCAAACAGGACTGGAGGATAAATCGATGAAGCACAAAAGCGATCTGGATCTTGAAAATCTGTGACCTCCTGCGAATCTTGACCCTCAAATTGACCCATTGGTGCAAGTGACCATGGATGAACAGTGCTTTTTGGTGAGTCTTTGTCACAAGGTCTCTGTGATATAGAATCAATATAGAAGGCAGCAGGTCGTGCACAGGGAACTGTAGAGAGCTCGCTGTTTCAGAAGATCCCTCAAACTTGAGGTCTAACTTTGGGTTTCATGGGTCAGGCATGGTAAGGCAGCTTAAGACATCTTAGAACCGACATGCCAAGCAGCAAAATCATAAATTCCATAGACATTTCGCAAAAGACGCACGGTGCAGGATGCCATTCACTCGCAAACCATGCTTCTGAGGTGATGGAGGTTAAATACAGGGCGGTTCTGAATGGCTTTGTGAGCATATTTTGAACCCATATCATCCTCTTA